CCCGACTCGCCAACTTCAATGCCCTCTTGATTTGATGGGCTGCTTGTAGCACCCAGGCCGGGGGCATTGGCTGCATCGGACCAAACAAATTCATCCTCTGAATCTGCTCGAGCGGAGTTTGGGTGCTCAGCACTCTCCATGTTTGAGAAGAGCCAACTCACATGGCAAAAAAGCTGTGCTGTTCAAAAGGTTCTTGTCACATCTTTGCTTGAGGTTATGCTGTGTTGAGGTGATTGTTGTGTGGTTGAGACGCTTTCAACTTTCAATGCGCGCAACCTCCCTCGGGACAAGTCAATGTTCTGCTCCGTTTCCGCTTGCACGGCGAATGTTTGCAAAGCCTTGAGCTTGAGCATAAACGCTAGGTCTCTAGGCGCTGCAAGGTTTGCTGCCATCAAATATTGCCGTCATGCCCTTTTGAGCCTCTGTCACGATCCCCCTATGACATTTTTCTGCAGCTTCCGGTGGCTCCAACAGTACGGAATTCCGAATTTTGCTTCAAAGCGACCTTGCAGAAATGGAGCTAGGAACAAGAACCCTACTAGGGGCTCCTGGCCTTACTACTAGGAGCAAGAACGCTACTAGGAGCAAAGGGCATCGCTACGAACGGAGCAAGAACGCTACTAGAGCTGTTGTAATCCATGTTTGAGTTCTTGTGATTCCGATTGGTTGCCAGTTGGACCAGTGGATCTGTCAGGTGTGGTTAAACTTGGTTACACTTGACGGCTGCCAACTCTTTCAGGTTCCATCTGCTCTCTGGCCAGACCTAAGAGCTGCATGGCGGCAATGCAAAATCAGTGGTCGAGTGCGCTTCAAAGTGCTTCCATGGCCAATCCTTCTGCGACCTTTTTTCCGGCGAACTATGATCATTATCAAATTTCAAGGTGAGGTCAGGATGGCTTAGCAGAAAGCAGGGCGAGGTACAACAAGCTGGTAACACATCTGTTAACAAACCAAAAAAAACAGCAAATCTCTTGCACGTCGATGCGTGACACAAAGTTCGCCACTGAGATCGACCACTCCACCCAGAATAGCACGTTGCATTGGCACATCTAGCGCCGTAGCATGCCTGACTCCTCGTCTGAAGACAAGTATGCATCATCGGCTACAGCTCTTCTTTCAAAGAGGTGGCAGTAAAAACCTCGCTGGTCATAGCCACACCTTGGCTTTGGGCACCCCACTGGCTTTTGGAGGTTTTGGAGTATCTTTCAAAAGCCACATTGCCAGCATCTTTCTTGCAGGACACTGCGGCCATTGCCGAAGCCTGTTCGCACCGAAAGGAGGTGTTTGATGATGTTTGAGCTCAGGGACTGGTTGTTCATATCCTTCTTCATCTCCTCCAGATTCTTTCCACCAGCACGCCCGAGATACAAGCGTTTGCATCCCACACAGCAGCACCAATACTCAAAGCACCCCTGCAGGGATGAGATGATAGGACCGCACCATGTCCTTGGCAGCTCAGCTCTTGTTACTAGCTCCTAGTAGCGATGCCGGCGATGCCCTTTGTTCCTAGTAGCGTCCTTGCTCCTAGTACGGCCAGGAGCCCCTAGTAGCGAACATTGCTCCTAGTAGCGATGCCCTTTGCTCCTAGTAGCTTCTTGTAAGGCCCATGTTGCCAATTTCAAAGGGCAGTCACTGTCGAGACGAGCCTCTCTTCGTCATAATCAGGCATTGCTACTGTGCGGATGTTTGTGTCACAATCGACCACCTCAGCTGAGAGCAGCCCACCAGCTGCCCAGATTGAAAGTCTGCCATCATGCTTGTCATATCATTCAGGCGCACGCTTGCACATCCTTCCAGAAAACCACGAAATCCTCCCATTGCATCCAAAAGGAGCCATCATCTTTGGGCTCTTCACCTCCCAAAATCTTTCGCTTAACGCCTCAATGTGATTCGCGTTTCGAACGGAGGTTTGTGGATGCTCTTATCATATTCGAGTGACGTGGATGCTTCTCCCACAAGGGCGACTTGTCGCTCCATGCCTCGGGAAAAGCGTGTTTGTTGCGAGGTAGCGGGGGTAGGCAGCTGGTAGGAAGTGGCTAAAGTAGCTAAGTAACTAGCTGGGGTAACTACCTATAAGCTTACAGTAGGGATGCTTAAGTTGCTTCCTATGCTTGGACGCAGGGCTCAGGCTGCTGAATGATTTGGTTCCAACATATTTTGGGAAATCGCAATGGTTTCTACACCAACGATTGCAGGGCAGAACTCACAAACTACAAGCGACCCTTCAAAAGTGTTCTGGTCACAGTAGCTTCCCAAAGCTCAAACGAACGAACTGAATTTAACTGAATGAACGTTGCAGTGATGTACACGCGGGATTGAGGGAAGTATGGTTTCGACATCAAATCGTTGTCACACAAAGAAAGCTGTGGCATCAAACTGTGCAATCTCTGGTCTCTCTTCGTTGACCTCTTCTAAGACCCAAACCCCTTGCCATTCCCCTTGCCCATGTGGGTTTCGGATCTGCACCATGCGGAAGTATTCCCCACTGGTCACATCTGGTGCGACTGTTTGCAAATCCAGCACCGAGTACCTTAAGTGGAGGCAAGGATGGACATTCTGCAACATCAAAGGCAACTTCATTGACTTTTCAACCCAGGGAGGTCTTGAGGCAAAGTCTCCAAACCTAGGAACCAACATGAACAAATCACGCGAACCACCCTTCGCCTGTCTGCGCCCCAAGCGGCCTAGTACTTGAGTAGCTTCCGGATCCTTACGTTCCTAAATGGAGCTCCTACCCGGTCTTCACGGCCTTACCCAGTGAAATTAGATAGAGAATAGAAAAGGAGGATCAAAACTGATCGACGAGAATGAGGTCTTCGACGAGTTGACCCTCTTGATCCCTTCAGCCATAGGAAAGGATACCATAGGATACCCACCACGCCCCGAGACCGGTTAGGGGCAATGAAGTTGTCGGAGATCCTGTACTATTAGCCTACGAGTCGCCTATAAGAGGCCTATTTTGTTTTCAAAGCTTTTCAAAGCTCCAGGATCCGAGCCACGCGTGGCCGTTGATCAAGCCTTTGCGGTCGGGTGGGACGATGGTTGAGCAACAAATAAACGCACCGTTCCGCCTAATCCGATGTAGGAACCTTGGCCCAAATCAGAAAGAACTGAAAAGCTAAGCATGGAACACTAACTTGGAAAATGATTGCAGAACAATCAGAAAACATG